CAGGTTATGACAAGTTTTTGTCGCTAGTGGGGAATGGTCTAAAGAGAACATTGTCTAACCCCACTCAAAAGCACATGCATGTTCGAAGTAAAGTCAAGTTTGGCGTTCCAGGTGTTGGCAAAAAGCTCAAACCGTCAGAAACTTACTGTCTGTCAAGCTGGAATTTTTTTTGGTTAAATAATTAAAAAATGTAAACCACTGATGTGTTTAACAATAAAATCAATTACATACATGACTATCGATCCAAATTGCGTGGATCGATGCTCATGATGTCAATCACTGGATTGTCTGGTCCAGACTCGATTATTTTACAGACCACCGTCATAAAGCTTGAATATTGCTGAGTGTGGCGTTAAACAACAAACAAACAAAACATACATGCCTTGGTTTGTTGTTCTTCACAAAATGGATCAATCTTCTAGAAAGAGTTATCTCCCGTGGGTTGAGCTTTTCTCATGGTCAAAGAATACTTAACACAGGTCAAAGTAGTTGAGAAAATAAACTTTTAATCATTGTAATTATGATTTAATAAAAAAAAAAATACAAATACTTTAAAATCAAAGTAATTTATAATATCACAAACAGATATAAGCACATGTTCACATTTGTAAACACTCATTATTAGTCATACAAAATCACTCGATTGCTTTCATTCATTCAGACAGGTTACATGATAAGATTACTATCACACTTGCTAAAGATTATAAAATAAATTAAAATGAATATATATTCCTTTACACTTTAAGGAATAAATTAAAACTGAAATACAATCACTTTTTTTCTGTAAAATTTTTCACAAGGTAGCAAATCACTGATGCTAAAGATTTACATAAATTCTACAAACATTACATCAACATTACACTCTTGCCACTCATGCTCAATCATACATCAATACAAGTATACTTCAAATCACAAATAACATTACAGATGAGAAATTTGTTGTACACGGAAACGGGTTAAATATCGTACTACATCATCATAAGCAGCAGCAGTAGCATCAATATTGGACAACAGTGGTGTTTGTGATGAATCCAGTGTGGTGGAGGAATGAGGAGCATGAGAGGTGTCCAAACCAATAGAGTTAGTGCTATTGAAGTAGATACAATAACAATATTTTTTCCTTGAACGGTAGTGGTAATAGAAGAGGAGAGTAGTACACTTGGAGAAATGATGTCCGCGCGATCTGTTGGAGACGTCCTGATCTGAGTAGGTGGGACTGATCACAAAAACATTAACAAAAGAATAAATTATTTTTTATTTAAAAATAAATAAATTCAAAAATAAATAAATATAAATTTAAAAATGAATACAATTACAGTAAATTAGTATATTACATATAAGAAAGTTGAAAAAAAGTATATAATTCATATATTACATATTGTAATGGAGATTTAAAATAGCAACACTAACCATTCAAAACAAATAATTCCATAACACGAATAAGTGACAAGAATATATTTTAACAAGACTCATACTATGGTGGCAGATGGAGTTCCGATCCTGGTGGTCCTGACAGTTGTCCTCCGGGTGGGTTTGGTAGACGTGGATGTCCACTTCTGAGTGGGATCTGCAAGAGACGTCCTGATCTGAGTAGGTGAGACTGTTCACCCCCCCAAAAAAATAATAATAATCTAAATAAATAAATAAATAAGATTTTTAAAAGAATAAATAAATAAAAATAATTTTATTAAAAAAATAAAAAAATAATATATACATATAAAAAAATATATATAAAATGAAAAAAATGAAAACAAATACAGTAAATTAGTATATTACATAAAAGAAAAGTTGAAAAGTTGAAAAGAAGGATGTTACAAGACTCCGGGTGGTCCTGACAGTTGTCCGGGTGGGTTTGGTAGACGGGGTGGTCCACTTCCGGGTGGTAGTCCTGCTGTTGGTATGGCTTCCTAACAAGGGACATTGAAACAGTAATGGTATGTAGTTCTGGAAACAATACAAATGTGAACCCTGATTAATTGTAAAGTGGTTGCATATAATTGTAGTTAAAATATATTCAAGAACATTTATATCCTGGTTTATCATCTGTAACTTTGTCTACACTTTGGAATAATTATTATTATTATCAACGATATTTAGAAACGATATTTTTAAATATATTTCAAACGACATACCACATGTTTCCTTTTTAACTAGAATTCCTCGTTTATTGCCTGGAAGTGAAGCGCAAGACACAGCATCTCCGTCAACAACACGCAGGTCCGTAAAGTGAGTGAATGAGTGAGTGAGTGAGGTTTTACGCCGCTTTTAGCAATATTCCAGCCATATCAGAAATTGGCTTCACACATTGTACCCATGTCGGAAATCGAACCCGGGTCTTCGGCGTGACGAGCTAACGCTTTAACCATTAGGCTACCCGACCGCCCCAGGTCCGTAAAGAGTTTCGTGGATAGTATCAGTTTGGTTGATGGTCCTTCGATCTTGATTTTAACCACGTGTACATATATTCTGGCTCGAGTGTGTTCCCCCCCTTCCTCTGTTTGGGGACAGGTGATGATTAATCGACTATGATTACAATGACTGCTGATCTCTTTGCTTTGGCAAAGGGCAAATAGTATTGCCAGCATCAAAACCCTGATGACTTTCTTGTCCGCCATCCTGGGATATGCGTTCCCGCGTAAAGAGAGATTGACAGGTCCTACTAAGTTCAAAGATTAAGAGAAACTCCACGCATCACCTTACAATGTATTCACTAATGGTCATTAACCCTGTTCGGAACTGTGTTTCGAGTATTTCATCATTGAGAAAACACAGTTCCGAATGATCATCACGGCGGGAAAAATCTCGTTTATCCATTTTTTCCCCCTTTGGTGTCGTTTAAGGAAGGGAGTAGAGAGGTGGCTGGATAATCGACTTTAACCTTGGAATGGACACTTTCGGTTAATGTAACAGTAACGATACATAAATACGAAACTGACGACACGACTCTTTCAGTTAAATCCGAAAATTACACATATTTGTTTAGTTGTGGTCATTTGGATTCAACAGTTAGATCTATACCACACAATAATCAGATTATATTTAAAAAACTTAAATTATCACACAGATTTAGTGTTTAGGAAGGGGCCTAATTTGAAGCACCAGAAGTTGTGGCAATTTTTCGCAGCTTGATTACGATATATGATTATGTCACGTGTATCAACATAACAATGCACATAAGTAACTAATCAATGTCATCAAAGAAAACTCCAATATACATATTCCAAGACAACTTTAATTATTGATTTCCTTTCCTTTCACAGAATTTTCACACACAAAACTGAGTTGGATCATTAGATCCACACTTAATACTTTTAGTTCAGGGAATTTGAATACTGATCCCACACAAGTTTTAAAAAACCATCTGGGATCCCTTTCCCGTTTTGTCCATACCAATCCTTCATCTGCTGCAAGGTTTAATATCCGTTTCTTCGATTCTCTTCGAGTATCAACGATCTCTCGAACCTCTTCGTTAATATAGCTCAGTGGAGAAATTTGGGCCACACTGTTTTCGAATCGACGAATTTCTGCAACATGGTGGCCGCACCTTTCCCTAACTGCGATTGCCTGTGCTGTGTCACGCATGGTTGACAAAAGAAGTGTGAATATACATATTCGGCTTCATCTGGTTCCACAATGAAATATCGCTGACACTGATTCACTAATCCCAAGAATCGGCACATAATTTGTAAAAGTTTCTGTTGCACTTGCAAGGGCGGGAAGAGAGTCGCCATCTTGTCGATTCGAGTTGACGATCGGAATTATGTCATCTTGAATTGGAACTTTTGCCACGATAAAGTCACCAATGTCATAATCGAAATGACCAAAGGCTCCCTGATCATCTTGAACAACTCTCCGTCAAATAATGCACCACATGAAAATGTTTTGTTGCTCATATTGAAGACAAGCGAACTTGCAAAGTTCTTAAAAGAAATTCGCAGTGGAATCGATGTTTTTTAAAAATAAAATTAAGGCAAACATTCTTTTCTAAAAAAATGCAAGTTAATTTATGAATTCATCCCAAGGCCGTACCCCTGATCACGTGGTGGGTATTTGGAAGGAATCTTGTGATGGCGTGAATGAGGCTGTGTGTATTACATTTTTTAAATCAACTGACCAGGAAGATTGTCGAGGCATTGACATGATGACAGATGCTCGTCATGGATGGAGAAAAAATGCATCCGTGAGAAACATTGTTGCTTTGATCTTCGAGACCAAACGTGTTCATGTCGAAGTATAGTTCACAAGAGAGGATGATCTCACAGGCCTCTGAAGCAGGATAGTGATATAACTGAAACAGTGGACCCATATATATAAATAGACAAGGTACGTCACTCGCCATCTTGGCCGAAGTTGAAATCGGCTGTATCATTTAAATTAAATGGAAATTTGTTCATGTCATGTTCACAATAACTCCCCCCCCCCCCCCACTCCAAATACGACCTGCATGCCACAAACCTTCATTTTTGGCAATTTATTACCTATATCGGGTGTTTTTATCGAAATATTGGCTCGGTCGCGGCTGTGGGTCACGGAAGTAAACAAATAATCTCCGCGCTCAATAGCGTCGAGTGCTGTGATTGGTCCGCGCTCCAACCATAACAAACACACATGGGGATATTTACCAATCAGAGCGCTCAGGGAAATTGAGTGCGGGGATTTTTGTAAACTTCCGTGACCCACAGCCGCGACTGAGCCAATATTTCGATAAAATCACCCGATATAGGTAATAAATTGCCAAAAATGAAGGTTTGTGGCATGCAGGTGAACATGACATGAACACATTTCCATTTAATTTAAACGATACAGCCGATTTCAATTTCGGCCAAGATGGCGAGTGACGTACCTTGTCTATTTATATATATGGGTCCACTGTTTCAGTTATATCACTATCCTGCTTCAGGGGCCTGTGAGATCATCCTCTCTTGTGAACTATACTTCGACATGAACACGTTTGGTCTCGAAGATCAAAGCAACAATGTTTCTCACGGATGCATTTTTTCTCCATCCATGACGAGCATCTGTCATCATGTCAATGCCTCGACAATCTTCCTGTTTCAGTTATATCACTATCCTGCTTCAGGAACCTGTGGATGATCTGTGTAGCCAGCAACCTGAATAAGCATGATTAAAAAAATGTGGAAAATCAATGTTCACGCACATGAAAGAATTAATGTGAACACATATTTATTAGAAACTCGTTTAGAATGTGTGAGAGGCTGTCCGTATTTTATTGCCATTCCGACGTGAAATAATATAAAATTTAATTTTGTGTCACAATTTTTCCTGCCCCTGTGGAAAATTGCGCATCGATCTAATAAAAGAAAACCTACTAGATATACCATTTGCACCGTCATAAAAGAACCAGTTCAACTTTATCTCTCTTCAGTTGTTTATTAAAAATTAGTTTCCGAAGCAAAGCGACTCGATCTACATGATAAAAAAATTCATAAACTAGATTCTACTACCAAGTGTTTGTAAGAATTGCTATTCATAAACTGCATATATATACCGTACACCACAGTATTTCGTTCTCGTCCAGACAATAGGGAAGAACCATTATTTGTGTGTTGGATAAATCGCGGACATTCCACTGTATCATTTTCTGAAGATGTGAAGACGACATGGCAGGTAGTTCATAAAACCCAAGACCTACACGTTTGTTGAAAAGTCTTGGAATCGTTTGATGGATATTTATAACCATTAAAACTTGCGTCCTTGTTTTCAAAAGGCCCACGTGGGTGGGGTTTACATGACCTCACCCGTTTACGCATGTACCAATGAAATTCGTCTGTTATCAGAAGACTGATGTTGGATGATAAACAAAATATCATCATCGTGTCTATTGATATCAAATACATCAACACTCGTTGATATATTTGACATCAAACGACTCTCGGGGGATATTCTATATTTCTCCATTTATTAGCACAGAACATATATCTCTTTTATAGAAAACCCCATGTTGCTGAAAAGTCGCAGACGTAAAAATCGACACATTTTTATATTGTCAATACTGTCAACGCGCATGTGTTGACGGGGAAATTAGCTCAGATTGAAAACGAAGAATACGTTGAGTCCAAACTTCTATAGTCGGCAATAAAAGAAATACAATTACTAATAGAAATATGTCGAGCGGAGATTCCAACTCAACAACCACAAGCGAAGTCCAGCAAGCAGGCGTATCCTACGCGGCTGCATATACAGGTGCTGTCGGAATACCAGACTGACTAACAGTAAAGATGTAAACATATATATATACACTTTTGGACAACATTAGACAGACAAAGAGACAATAGCGTTGCCCTGGACATGGGGCTTATGGACGTGATTACAGTCACGGCCCAGGGGAAAATGGATTAAGGCTATAAATGTCATAATGTGAAATGCTGTGTTAAGACAATGGTACAACTGACCGCTGTTACGCATGGATTAGGTCATGTTGAATAGTCCAGATTTCCCAAATGATATGTTCTCAACATTGTACAAAAGGGATGTTGTTCAGAAGCTCCAATTTTTTTAACAATGCGTTGTCACTCTGTGACAATACTATCATTGCATTATTAATAAGCTGCCAAAGGAACCTTTCCGAAGGTTCTGCGCACACCGCCTATCCAAATAAACACTTTGGGATGGCTGTTACAAGAAAATAACATAGTTGTAGGATGTGGATTTTCAGGCAAAGAAAGTCACAGGGCCAATAAGACAATAAAAAAGTTTTCCTGCAAGAGCATATTACAAAATGCAACTCTTGAAGAGAAAACAAATATCACATGTTGTAAAGTACATGGTTTCGTTATCTTTAAAACCCCCAAAGGTCGGACAATCTGATTTTGTCTTGATGGTACTGCATGTATCGATGTGGTCCAAGGACCATGTTTTCAGGATAACAATACGGAAGACAATGATAGATACAGTGGAAGATGGATATAACGAACCACAAGGGACCGGAGAAATCAGTTCGTTATGTACATTGTTCGTTATATACGCACATTTTATATGATGATATAGAGGACATGAATCGAGGATTTTGTAACAGTTTGTTGTATCCATTTGTTCGCACATTATCCGTGTTCGTTACATCCGTGTTCGACTGTGATATTATTTCAGTTTGTCAATCTCTGTTTTGGTGGTACATAACTCACTAGTACAACAAATAATATCTCCGGACCTCCTCGTGGTGGGTCTCCAAAGATAATCACAATTAACCAACGTCAACTGTGTACAAGAGTCCAGGCAAATCTCCCTGGGACAAGGAGGAAGAGTGGCTAGGAAGTGGGCATTCGTAGAAAGTAAATGTTTCACTCCCGTTCCTAATCTGAATGCTGCCTCTGGCACCATAATACCAACTATAGGAGGATGTCTGGACACTAAGTGTATACTTCACACCAACCTTCAGTAACACCGGTCTACTTAATTCAAGAGACGTCTGTTCCTGATGCTCCTCTGAGGTTGTCACGTGTATTGACTCTTCATGCAGGAGATCCCCTAAGTGGGAGAAAAGTTTGACTTTCACATCATACTCAGCCGTCCGTCCTCTGTACAAAAGAACACCCCGAAGAGCCACCAATCTGTTGCAGGAAAAGGCAAGTCCAAGTCTGCGATTGGCATCAGTTGTTGTGAGCATCTCGTCTCCCAGAGGACCCGCAGTCTCCGAGAACCGAACACACATCTTTGTTTCAGGGCTCAAGGTGATGGGACTACCCGCTCTTTGGGCTATCTGAAACTGACCCGCTGATCTGTCAGCTCCGGATAGATATCTGAAGATGCTAACTTTCTCTGCGTCTGTCAAGAGATTGAGGTGGGCAATCCTGCAAGCAAAATAATTCATTCCTAGTAGCGGAAAACGGATGCGAAAAAGTAATGGTCCTAACCCATCACGGAGATTCAGTTCAGAGATGCTAGTGTTGTGCTGCCGCAGTTGTTTTTTCCCCCAATCAATAACTCTTTTGTACACAGTAACTTCCTTAGCATGGAGACTGTCATCAGAAATGATAAGTTCAACACATTCATAGCACAAGCCTAGGAAACCGTCGGACTTGATAACAGTCTCTCCATGACTAAGGGCAAACTCGAGACAGCTCCCGCGAAGTTCCACCTCCTGGTAGTGGTGAGCCTGTTCCAGGAAGTAACAGACATTGTTGTCAGACAGGTGAGACGTGATGAAGGCGGTGCATGAGTCCCGCAACCTCCCAATGTTGAATAACTTAGACAAGTGCAACACCCCAATCACCGTCTCCATGGTGAGACCGGTGGTGTCTGTGTAGCAATATCTGAAAGAAAGATAATAATCTACATGACATTGGGGATGTTACCTTTCCTGACGTAACTTGGTTGGTTGGTTTGTTGTTCAACACCGCACTCAGAAATATTTCAGCTATATGACGGCGGTCTGTAAATAATCGAGTCTGGACCAGACAATCCAGTGATTGATATCATGAGCATCGATCCACGCAATTGGGATACGATGACATGCATCAAACAAGTCAGCGAGCCTGACCTCCCGATCCCGTTTAGTCACCTCTCACAACAAGCATAGTCGCCTTTTACGGCAAGCGTGGGTTGCTGAAGACCTATTCTACCCCGGATCTTCACGGGTCTAAAATGATCTACATGGCAATGGGGATGTTACCTTTCCTGACGTAACTAGTGCTCAAGACATTTCATACAGTCTAAAAAGACATTGTATACAATAGAAATGTATCAGGACATTTTTGCGATGTTGTCAAATCTTGTCACGACATGAACTGATATGAAAGCCTGTTATTTATACAGCTTTAGCAACTTCGTCGGAGTAATTGACGTAACGGCTGAGTTTCTGGACAAACGGAGTCTGATAGAGTTTCTCTGAACACCGTGTTCATAAACGAATAGGGCAACTCTTTTAACCACATATAGTGTTTTTGTGTGTTTGCTTGTCAGCAGTATTGCAGCTATATGACGGCGGTCTGTCATTGATCGAGTCTGGACCAGACAATCCAGTGATTGACATCATAAGCATCGATCCACGCAATTGAAATACGATGACATGCATCAACCAAGTCAGCGAGCCTGACCACCCGATCCCGTTAGTCGCCTCCTACGACAAGCATAGTCGCCTTTTACGGCAAGCATGGGTTGCTGAAGGCCTATTCTACCCCGGATCATCACGGGTCGATGCCGTAAGTTAATCTAAAGCCCAATGGATTTGAGCTGGAAACATGGCCGCTTATGTTCAAATGAAATTTTTTTCCAACAGATGTCATTATCCATATGCAAACGTCTACCTTAATACACATTGCAGAGTAGGGACTGTGGTCTCAGGTAATGGAAGTGTTCTCGGATTTCCATCAGCAGAATTGTACAAACAATCGTACAAGGCCTGACTTCTACTTTTCAATATATAACTGTGAGCACGAATTATCTCTTTTGATTCTCCAACTTCAAAAGTGACGTCACAATCCAGCTGATGCTCAAGCATGTATCCGTTGCACTCTGTGCTGTTCTTTCCTGTTTGCCAGTCCCGGGATGGAGTTGTCGCCCTTGTTATCGAACCTGACATGGTGGTGGATTCCGATATCTGCAATTAGTGATATGATGTGATCTAGTTGGCTTGTTGTTTAACGCCGCACTCGGCAATATTCCAGCTATATGAAGGGGGTCTGTAAATAATCGAGTCTGGACCAGACAATCCAGTGATTGATATCATGAGCATCGATCCACGCAATTGGGATCGATGACATGCATCAGCCAAGTCAGCGAGCCTGACCACCCGATCCCGTTAGTCGCCTCTTACGACAAGCATAGTCACCTTTCACGGTAAGCATGGGATGCTGAAGACCTTTTTTCCCCCGGATCTTCACGGGCCTGATATGATGTGAAGGTTGGTTGGTTGGTTTGTTGTTTTACGCCGCACTCAGCAATGTTCCAGCTATGTGACAGCGGTATGTCAATAAATGAGTCTGGACCAGACAATCCAGTGATTGATATCATGAACATCGATCAAAGCAATTGGGATCGATGACATGCTTCAACCAAGTCAGCGAGCCTGACCACCCGATCCCGTTAGTCGCCGTGATGTGAATGAGTGAGTTGTGTTAACGTCTCAATAAACAGTATGCATGTTTTATGACGGTGATCCGGAGGGGGCGCAAGGAGGACCCAGCTCAGGGAGAGTGAGTGAGTGAGTGAGTGAATAGTGCTTAACGCCGCATCAGCAATTTTGCAGCTATTCGCGGCGAGAAATGTCAGCTCAGGGAGACCCGTGGTAGATACGGGGTAAAATAGGTCTTCAGCAACCAATGCTAGTCGTAAGAGGTCACTAAAGGGATTAGGTGGACTGGCTCGCCGACATAGTTGATGCATGTCATCGTATCCCCATTGCGTGGATCGATGCTCATGATATCAGTCTCTGGATTATCTGGTCCAGACTCGATTTATACTGCCCGCCGTCATATAGCTGAAATGTTGCTGAGGTGAGGTGAGGTGAAATGGGATTTGACGTCGCGTCCAAGATTATTGCACTTATATAGCGACGTGCATGTGTGTGTGTGGCTGCTTGTACTAGTCCGGACTGATGCCGATTTATAGTGCTAGCTCACTGAGATACCATGCCACAGTTTAACATGAATACCCCACTCAGACACAGTATACTGACACCGAGCTGACAGTTCTCCTTATGACGAGCGCAAGACAGGGTAACAACAAGTACCATCTTTTAACGTCTTTCGGTATGACGCGGCCGGCGATCGAACCCCGGACCTTCCGCTCTCCGGGCGGACGCTATACCACTAGACCACAGAGGCCGGAATATTGCTGAGTACGGCGTTAAACAATCAAATAAAGTAGTAAACAAGGTCACAGATACGTGGCGGATGATAACAGATGGATAACGCTCATGATGAAACGTGTCGGGGCACATGTGGTCGTCCTTGTTTGTAAATCGAACTGCATCAACAAAACATTTGACGATCTCTCAGTCGTGTAGAAGTGCATTGATTAGCTCATGTGAGAACGCACATTCATTCTCCCGTGAATGTTCATAGCGAAGGATCAATAGAATGTATTGAACTCGACTTTGAACAGAGTTGCTCTGAAATACTTCCTGGTGAACAGGTATTGTCCCCCAGCTGTACAGAGACGTACAGATAACCATAACGCTGACATACACAGCAGGGCGTTGTGACTGAAAGGTCGAAATAACCTAGGAAATATCAAGTGGTAGAATGAGGTCAACTATAAGCCTTACACGACACACACGTTTCGAGACTATTTAAGATCATAACGATCATGTTTGATCTCGCCTCGGAATGTATAAATAAACTTACGTAAACAGTATTGAATATTATGTTATTCACATTTCAGACAGTATAAACAATCAGATCACAACGATCATATTAATGTAGCTCGGCATTGAACGATTAACAGTGTACTGAGCGAAATGCTATTCACATTTCCGGGTCTGTTTACAATCAGATCACAACAATCATATTTAATTTGACTGTAATATGAGTGAGTGAGTTAAAATTTAACGTCGCATCGGCATCATTTCAGCCATATACCGACGCTCTAATATGAACGTCTATCATTTTACCTGATGGTGTCTTTTTTCTTTTACGCGCCTATAGAGCAAAAACTACACATGCCTTATATACATTAACGATTTAACGTCACGTCCCTTGACCAGTCTACTTTGACTGCATGTGTCAATCACTGGATTGTCTGGTCCAGATTCGATTATTTACAGACTGCCGTCATATAGCTGGAATATTGCTGAGTGCGACGTTAAACAACAAACAAACAAACATCAAACTTTGACTGCATGCTATTGATCCACAATTCATGTCGGTGTATATCTTTGTACGTTACAAACGGACTTTGATCATCGCTCACACAAATGACGACACTGACTGTACAGTCATTGCATACCTATACACTGGGTGTTCTCCAAGCGCTTTCCATCGCAAGAAACACAAGGACGAAAATATCTACAATTACCGAGTGCACCCGGCTGTGGTATAGGCGAGAGGCTTCCCTGTTAAAGTTCGACATGATATTCAGCCATGTATACGTATAAAACCTGCGAAACAAGGACATGCATATCTGATATAGTTTTACGAGACATCTTACCCGAAGACACCCTGACACAGCAATCTGATCTGTCCCGCTGTCGCGTTGGGTGTACTGTATCTCGACTAATGTCACTCTGCGTTTCCCAGAACACCTACGTCAACCGCCTGTTCTCAGAAAGAGAAAGTAAACAATGTAACCAGCACGACACGTTGATCTTGTTGTGATCTGAAGTGGAACGATAGTTATATTTGTGCTATTTTGGGACCGACCATCCGGGAGGGAGTTTGGGATTTTGTAAAGGGACTGTATATTTTTTCAGCCACTGCTTTAAAATTGAAAACTTATATGTATTTCAAATATCTTGCAACAATGCTTTTGTGGCAGACCAAAGAAAATTCAACAGTCTCTTGCATAACTTTTGTTCAAGCAGTTTTTTTTCAAACAATGTATTTTATTTTCGAAATAGAAGTCAATGGAAGAATATTGATCTATTTTGTCAATTGTCTTCGTGTAGCAGACGAGGAAAGTCACCCTCGGTGGCTGTCAAATTTCAGAAAAAGAGTTTGTTACAAGTCCCGTTTCACATCATGAGCATCGGCCCACGCTAGTTATTTGCCCTGAGCGCAGGATGCGTGTGGTTCGATTGCGTCAAACAACATCGTATCCCAATTGCGTGGATCGATGCTCATGATGTCAATCATTGTATTGTCTGGTCGAGACTCGACCGCCGTCATTTCGCTGGAAAATTGCTGAGTGCAGCGTAAAACAACAAACAAACATAGCTGCCGATCACAATGAAAGGGAACCCATTTGTTTCAGTTGCCTTTTATGCTATACAATGGCACGGATATTCTCGTAGTCAAATGAGATTTGGACCTCATGAGCAAAGGCTTTAGCTGTTTTATATAAAATTGATCATTAATACAGGATTGCCGCGAGATTTTGTTTTCACTTTCGACTATCATGTCCTTATGTTCTAACGTATTTCGACACAAAAAGCCAGAATTAATTTATTACGGATTTCTGAATAACGCTATATAAAACTTTCATCTTATTCATCAAGTACTAAATATCCTATAGCTCATGGATTATTTGACAATAGATAGTCAATTATTACCTTATTACAAATGGCTTGACCTTAGATATGACTGAAGTATAATGTAATTACTGCGGACACCACATGAAGTTAGGGGCGGTGGGATAGTCTTGTAGCTAAAGCGTTCGCTCGTCACGCTGAAGGTCCGCGTTCGATTCCCAACATGTACAATGTGTGAAGCCTATTTCAGGGGCCTGCGCCGTGATGTTGTTGGAATATTGCTAAAAGCGGCTTAAAATCCAACTCACTCACTCACACGCATCTAACGGAATCTGTTGGCCTTGAACTCAGAAGGATGTCGCTGGTGTCTGCTCTGGTTGATAGCCTAGAGTTACATTCCCGCATCTCAAAACGTTTGGTATCTTTACCAGCAGCCCTTTTGGAACCTTCTTCGTTAGTCGCTTTTTACGACAAGCATAGTCACCTTTTACGGCAAGCATGGGTTGCTGAAGACCTATTCTACCCCGGATCTTCACGGGTCTTTCTCCCACTGAAACACATTATTGGTTGCACATGTGTACACTGCCATTTCTTGGAAGTACACAATTCCTCATCGCAACACAGAATAAATTTAACGTGCTTCGTGTACATTCCAGCTTTATGACGGCGATCTGTAAATAGCCCAGTCTCTCTTGTGTGTACACTGTCGCTAAGGGACATACATAATGCATTCTCCCTTGTGTGTACACTATCGCTCAGGGACATACATAATACATTCTCCCGTGTCTGTACACTGTCTCTAAGGGACATACATAATACATTCTCCCTTGTGTGTACACTGTCTCTAAGGGGCATACATAATACATTCTTCCTTGTGTGTACACTGTCGCTCAGGGTCATACATAATACATTCTCCCTTGTGTGTACACTGTCGCTCAGGGACATACATAAAACATTCTCTCTTGTGTGTACACTGTCTCTAAGGGACATATATAATACATTCTCCCGTGTCTGTACACTGCCTCTAAGTAAGATACATAATACATTCTCCCTTGTGTGTACACTGTCGCTAAGGGACATACATAATACATTCTCCCTTGTGTGTACACTGTCTCTAAGGGTCATACATAATACATTCTCCCTTGTGTGTACACTGTCTCTAAGGGACATACATAGTACATTCTCCCGTGTCTGTACACTGCCTCTAAGTGACATACATAATACATTCTCCCTTGTGTGTACACTGTCTCTAAGGGACATACATAATACATTCTCCCTTGTGTGTACACTGTCTCTAAGGGGCATACATAATACATTCTTCCTTGTGTGTACACTGTCGCTAAGGGACATACATAATACATTATCACTTGTGTGTACACTGTCTCTAAGAGACATACATAATACATTCTCCCTTGTGTGTACACTGTCTCTCAGGGACATACATAATACATTCTCCCTTGTGTGTACACTGTCTCTAAGGGACATACATAGTACATTCTCCCGTGTCTGTACACTGCCTCTAAGTGACATACATAATACATTCTCCCTTGTGTGTACACTGTCTCTAAGGGACATACATAATACATTCTCCCTTGTGTGTACACTGTCTCTAAGGGGCATACATAATACATTCTTCCTTGTGTGTACACTGTCGCTAAGGGACATACATAATACATTATCACTTGTGTGTACACTGTCTCTAAGAGACATACATAATACATTCTCCCTTGTGTGTACACTGTCTCTCAGGGACATACATAATACATTCTCCCTTGTGTGTACACTGTCTCTAAGGGACATACATAATACATTCTTCCTTGTGTGTACACTGTCTCTAAAGGGATACATAATACATTCTCCCTTGTGTGTACACTGTCTCTAAGGGACATACATAATACATTCTCCCTTGTGTGTACACTGTCGCTCGGGGACATACATAATACATTTTCCCTTGTGTGTACACTGTCTCTAAGGGACATACATAATACATTCTTCCTTGTGTGTACACTGTCTCTAAGGGACATACATAATACATTCTCCCTTGTGTGTACACTGTCTCTAAGGGACATACATAATACATTCTCCCTTGTGTGTACACTGTCGCTCGGGGACATACATAATACATTCTCCCTTGTGTGTACACTGTCTCTAAGGGACATACATAATACATTCTTCCTTGTGTGTACACTGTCTCTAAGGGACATACATAATACATTCTCCCTTGTGTGTACACTGTCTCTAAGGGTCATACATAATACATTCTCCCTTGTGTGTACACTGTCTCTAAGGGTCATACATAATACATTCTCTCTTGTGTGTACACTGTCTCTAAGGGACATACATAATACATTCTCCCTTGTGTGTACACTGTCTCTAAGGGACATACATAATACATTCTCCCTTGTGCGTACACTGTCTCTAAGGGTCATACATAATACATTCTTCCTTGTGTGTACACTGTCTCTAAGGGGCATACATAATACATTCTCCCTTGTGTGTACACTGTCTCTAAAGGGATACATAATACATTCTCCCTTGTGTGTACACTGTCTCTAAGGGACATACATAATACATTCTCCCTTGTGTGTACACTGTCTCTAAGTGACATACATAATACATTCTCCCTTGTGTGTACACTGTCGCTTAGGGATATACATAATACATTCTTCCTTGTGTGTACACTGTCTCTAAGTGACATACATAATACATTCTCCCTTGTGTGTACACTGTCTCTAAGGGACATACATAATACATTCTCCCTTGTGTGTACACTGTCTCTAAGTGACATACATAATACATTCTCTCTTGTGTGTACACTGTCGCTTAGGGATATACATAATACATTCTCCCTTGTGTGTACACTGTCGCTCAGGGTCATACATAATACATTCTTCCTTGTGTGTACACTGTCTCTAAGGGACATACATAATACATTCTCCCTTGTGTGTACACTGTCTCTAAGGGGCATACATAATACATTCTCCCTTGTGTGTACACTGTCTCTAAGGGACATACATAATACATTCTTCCTTGTGTGTACACTGTCGCTTGGGGACATGCATAATACTTTCTTTCTTGTGTGTACACTGTCTCTAAGGGACATACATAATACATTCTCCCTTGTGTGTACACTGTCGCTCAGGGACATACATAATACTTTCTTTCTTGTGTGTACACTGTCGCTCGGGGACAAACATAATACATTCTTCCTTGTGTGTACACTGTCTCTAAGGTCATACATAATATATTGAAGAAAAAAGGATCCCTCTGTCATATTGTCTGTACATTGCGCCACAAATTGCTTAACGCCGCACTCAGCAATATTCAAGCTATATGACGGCGGTCTGTAAATAATCAAGTCTGGAACAGTGATTAACATCATGAGCATCGATCCACGCAATTGGGATACGATGACATGCAACAACCAAGTCAGCGAGCCTGACCACCCGACCTAGTTAGTCGCCTCTTACGACAAGCATAGTCACCTTTTACGGCAAGCATGGGTTCTTGAAGACCTATACTACCCCGGAATCTTCACGGGTCTTTCTCCCACTGAAACACATTATTGGTTGCACATGTGTACACTGCCATTTCTTGGAAGTACAGAATTCCTCATCGCAACACAGAATATATTTAACGTGTTTCGTGTACATTCCAGCTATATGACGGCGATCTGTAAATAGCCCAGTCTGGAACAGACAATCCAGTTGTATGTACACTGCCATTTCTTAGAAGTACAGAATTCCTCATCGCAACACAGAATATAGTTAACGTGTTTCCAGAACTCTTCCAAATACGGTAAGACACAAGGAATGGGTACCCGGAAGTATCCAGTAATGTATTACAAAAAGCTGCTTAAGTTGCATGAACCATTTGGATGGACATTGATCCAATGCTCGTTTATGGTGGGGTCATAAACTTTTCATGATTATGATTATGATTAGTATCAGTGTTTTATGTTTAAATAGCATCATGGTTGAAAGGTACTCATAGAAGTGGCGACAATTTCAATTTCTGAAAGATTACTGAACTTTAGTCGCATTAGGCCATATTAAAATGGGTTCATTTTTAATTACCCAAATGAGGAAACAGAGAGTAGATTAGAGACAAGCAATCTTGTTAAAATATTCATGAATAGCGCCGTACAGGCATAACGTCCTCTCAATCTGAAGCCGACGATTGCGTTTCCCCAATCTTGAGAGCAACATCTTATCAGGTGTTGCATCCGACGAAGGAATTGAGTGTATTCCACAGCAAAACTGACACCTGTCTCCAAAGAACAAAGAAGTAAGTTTCCTTTTTTCCTTTATGTTTTCAGTTTCTGTCAAATGTTAGAGTTAATTACCCAAAATGAGGAAACAGAGAGTGGATTAGTGACAAGCAATCTTGTTAAAAAAGTCGACGATTGCGTTTCCCCAATCTTGAGAGCCACATCTGATCATGTGTTGCATCCGACGAAGGCAAAACTGACACTTGTCTCCAAAGAACAAAGAAGTAAGTAGCCTTCGTTCTTTAATGTTTTCAATTTCTGTCAAATGTTTGAAGAGCTATTTGTAGAAATGTAATAACGTTCAACATAATATATCAAACGTAAGTTAACTTTGGAATATTAAAATTAATTACCCTGTCTGTTAACAATATATGTATATAGCGCCGATAATCACACATATAGTGAGCTCTTTAGGATCGTTGACGAAATAGCCCTAGCTCAGAGGGTAAGCTTTCTTGAATACAAATATTTAGATTTGTGCTTTGAATGCAAGTTAAGTCATTAGGCCATGGATGCGTGCGAGCGTGCGTGCGTGCGTGCGTATGTATTATATTATATGCGTAACTGACAATATTATTCTGGAGCGCCTAAAGTTCAGATTAATCATAATAAGCACCTCGGTAATACATACAAATCGTTTTCAACCCAAAGAACGATTATTTCGCAAGAAACTTAATTTGTACTGCACACCATGTGCATTTTCTGGTGAAAATGTACAGTAGCAAGGTTGTTTCCTAGCTCAGAATAAAATTATCAGTATTCAAACAATCATGAAACTATGATTCCAACAATTCGAAATTTACAAAGTGATGTACGGTACGTATCAACATGCACAGATGACAGGTGATTTTCATACACTAGACATATTTAATATTTCTATTATAAAACAACTCGGAGTAATAAACCAAATTATCTATGACATATCTGTTTGAACATACCAAGAAAACCCAGTGCTCTATCTTAGTTAATCCCAAACCAAGAATAAACAGTAAGGTTCTCACTTTATAAGTCCAACAATATATCCACATGATACAATAGCAGACAATTAATAATATTGACATTTTTGGTAACTTTGAGAGAACAACGGCCGAACTCGCCTGTCGCAACAGTATTCGGTACACTTCTACCTGGATGTAAACTACCCTTTAGTGAGTGACTGATTATGGTGTTACGCCGCTTTGAGCAATATTCCGGGGGACACCAGAAAAGGGTTTAACCCATTTTACCCATGTCGGGAATCGAACCCCGGTCTTCGGCGTGACGAGCGAACGCTTTAACCACTAGGCTACCCGACCGCACCAAACTATCCTTTAGAAACAGTGAGAATATTAGATGGATGGACTTCTCTAACTTCACTACCATACAGTATATTGACTCTGAGACGACCAGTCCTTGTTTTAGCCCCTTAGTGCCGACAGGGTAACAACAAGTACCATCTTTAACGTCTATTGGTATGACGTGGCGGGGATCGAACCTCCGACCTTCCGCACTCCGGGCGCTCTACCACTAGACTATGGAGGTGGTATTGTAGTATGTGATTAGTGAACACGGTGACTAGAAGCTAAAGTACTGACACTGCTGATGTGTTACAGATGATGGTTTCTAGACGCGGCAACACTCATGGCGACCACGCCCTGATACTGATGCTTCTAGTGATGGTGGTGTCATACAGTACGTATTTTCTTTCATCTCACTGATTGTGATGGTGTTTTCATATAGTGCATTCTTTTGTTGATATCACTGATTTCGAATACGTTGGCATAAAATACCTTCTTTCATTCATTCATTCATTCATTCATAGAGAATGGTAAAAGGTATTCAGACACCCATCCTTGCCTGAGGAAGCGACTATGTTGTAAGAGGCGACTCAGGTGGTCAGGCTTGCTGACTTGGTTGATGCATGTCAGTTGCGTCGATTGATGCTCATGATGTCAATCACTGGATATTGGTACATGTCATGGTGTTCCAGAATGGTCCTCAGCCGGCCTCCAGGTGTCCTCCCTTGTCCCCGGTATGGGGATCATGTTCTTGGTCATCAGCCTCTGTCTGGTCTTCTGCATGGATCGATGCTCATGATGTCAATCACTGGATTTTCTGGTCCAGACTCGATTATTTACAGACCGAGCAATGTGCTCATCCGCCTTCCTTAATGATTCATTAAGTGTATCATAATTGGTGAACATTGTATACAATATACACAAGCTGTACAATTATCTTGACACATTTGAATTATAAACAAATCATTCACACATTCATCATCACTTGTCTTGTCTGTATTGTACAAAAAACATTTCTTCACAGGTACAGAACACGTCTTTTGCCCTGAAATAAGTCAGTTGGGTAGGCCTGCCAATCTGACCTGTAATAAAGCAGACAACTTAAATGTCCACTCCTACTCAACACCCAGTGGAAATCCTGCTGCCTCGTGTGATCTCGCAGATGGAAGATGTGTATCACAGGGGGACTTCACAGCATCTGTCATCAATACTACAAGCAGTGTCCTCACAATACCCAGTGTGCTGCAGTCACATGGAGGCGACTGGGCTTGTGTTGCAGACGCAGATGACCCGCGCCCTTCTACTTGTCGCATGACAGTTGCCAGTAAGAGCGAACAGATGAGTGAGTGTGTGAGTGAGTGAGTATGGTTTTACGCCACTTTTAGCAATACTCCAGCACTATCACGGCGGGGGACACCAGAAATGGGCTTCACACATTGGACCCATGTCGGGAATCGAACCCGGGTCTTCAGCGAGACGAGCGAGCGCTTTGACCACTAGGTTACCCGACCGCCCCACGAACAGATAGACACGGGCATCCTGACAACCTAACGGTTACCTTAGTCTTTGTTCAGTAACAGCCGTCGGTGTGGTGGTCCATGTTGAAGTTGTTGTCATTACTTAATTTTATGTATTTATTCACTGAGTTTTCATTATATTGTTTGCTTAAGTGAAAAGGAACAAACGAAGTGTTCATTTGAGATTTGAATTTTACCTAATTAGTTTACGTGTATAAAATATGCAAAAACTCAATAATTAGCTGTTGGGTGATTGAGTATGATTTTGCGTCACGTTTGCAATATTGCAACAACACTACAGCGAGGATACCAGAAATGGTCTCTGCATATTATACCCAAGGGGCGAATCGAACCCGGATCGTCAGCGTGAACACTATGACCACTGGGCTACCCCACAACTTGCAACGAGTAGTGGAACACCCTTCGTCTTACAATAGCGGAACTGTTTTAAATTAATTTGACACTCCCACAAAAACTCGCAGTTATATTTGGTTAGATTTAGTTCATACATTATACATGTATCTAAAAAAATAAATTTATTATAAAATTTAAATTCTTGGGAAATTCAGATTTCCAACATCATTTGTTCTTCGCTCAGTAGTTGAATGATCTGACAGCTTGGGTTGTTGTCCGCAGAGTTCCCGTCCTGCAACATGGTAAGTGTCCAGGAAAGCAGCAGTCTGACTGTGGGACGGGAGCTGAAAGTGAACATCACAGGCTTCTTCTGCTCTGAGGACATGCAGCTCGAGCTGCTGACCGTGATGGATTCGTATTCCACATCCCCTCTACACACCACAGCAGACATCACTGAAAGGGCCTTCAACACGACAGGAACCCAGACCAAGCTTCTCTTTACCTGTGGCAGTCACACCCAGAGTGTGTCATGTGAAGGTGTTCAACAACAGGGTCGGGGTGAGTATGTTAATAGCCTCTACTTTAATTCACAATATGCCCCAGTTTAGTTTAGTGATACCGTAATAGCAATGTGCCAGCATATTTTTGTTAATTGAGGAAAGGGTTCAAGTGTAGGCCTGATGCCTGCTGATCTCTAAATGTTAGCTGAAATGGGTTTTTTGTTTGTGTGTGTGTGTGTGTGTGTGTGTGTGTGTGTGTGTGTGTGTGTGTGTGTGTGTGTGTGTGTGTGTGCGTTTGTTAGTCCGTACGAATGCTGATTTAATACTGCAAGCTCACTCACTATGCCCAGCCGACCAGTCCTTGTTTTAGCCCCTCAATGACGAGCACCAGGCAGGGTAACAACAAGTACCATATTTTAGCGTCTCTTGGTAAGACGCGGCCGGGTATCGAACACCGACCTTCCGCTCTATGGGCAGACTAGACCACGGAGGCGGCCTTTATGTTGAAAGTGCTCAATCAGAACTGCCCGAACAGTATTGCTACATGTCTCGATGTTCCAGAACATGCAGAATGTCCCTCAGCCGGCCTCCACGTGTCCTCCCTTGTCCTCGGTATGGGGGCCATGTTTATGGTCATCAGCCTCTGCCTGGGCTTCTGGTGCATCTGCAGATACTGCCCTAGTTCAGGTAGACCGTTTACTCCTTCTACCTCCACCAGTGAACCTCCCCCTTCTTTAATCAAGACCCTGATACACCAGCATCCCTGCCTCCAAATGAATGCTGTGTGGAACTGTATAGCTTCCAATATATTACATGCATGGCACCTTGCCTTGGACAACTGAACTGCAATAAAGGTATTACTAAAGAAGAGAATATATGGATCTCATCTTTTTTATTATGAGGAACACAACGTTTCAGAGTATATGCTTACTCCTTCATCAGATGAGTGAATGCCATGAGACAGAGAGCCTTTTAAGTTTCTACCCTTTGTTATTTTCCACCTTTTGTTATCTTATTAATTCTGTTGTCCCTACATGTACATATATATGCTCTCTGCCTCATGGCATTCATTTACCTGTGTATCACTTCAAAATGACTTACAAAGACCTGAAGGTATTCCTAGTTTAGCAACCTCAATGGTTGATTGGTACAGGGTTCAATCCAGAAAGACAGTTGAACCACTGTAACACAAAACCCCGTTAAACCGAACCCTCATACTCAGGCAACACTGCTTTCTGGACGATACGTTTATTCATGCCTACATCCTTTACACATTATAGCTTTGTGTTACTTCTAGCTTTGAACAAATGAAATCCTTTAAAATTCCGCGATGCTTTCAGATATGTAAACAAAGAGGCAGCTACGCCGTTTAGTAATTCGATCAATATTCAACTCATATCTTAGTATTGTGCATGTTATATAGTACTAACGCCATATTAATTTATTCGATGGAGGAGAAGAATTATTATCATTTAAACTTGCCACAAAAGGGACGTGATCCGTATTTACAAAATATCATGTTTTCAGTATAAACTTCAATCTTCTCATAAAGGAAATCATTTTAGCTTTCCTGATAATACTCCATGTGAAATGCCTGTCTACCATTACATCATTACTCCTAGAAGTTTAGGGCGGTCGACATCATTAATGATTTCGTTTTCAAGTACTAATTTTCAAGACAAATGTGTTCATGTTTAGAGAATGATATACAAATTTGTCATGCTTTTGCTGCAAAGTACTACCGATTTGTCTGCATATTTACTGATATTTTCTACTTTTGGATTTAAACATGAAACCAAAAATATGTCTACATGAAGTTCATAACTCTTATCTTATTTTCGGATATGTCTGTATTCTAGACATTGACCCTGGTGGTGGTATCACCTGAATCTATATTGTTTCATTGTCCTCTTGTTCAGATAATAGAATAACTTATCACAATATAATATAATCATTAAATATTTAATTTCTGAGACATTTTATTGTCACTAAAAATTGTTTTTGTTACTGTGCTTTGTTGCAAACTAATATTGCCGACGCAGAATTGTGCAACATTCAGAAGTGTGATACACGACATCTGGAAACATTACCACGATGTTATTAGTGTGAAGGGAAGCTACTTATTGTGTGTTGTGAAATAAGACGATAAAGCCACGACCAGTACTAGTGACTTTTGTAGTGAAATAAAAAAAATATATTGCATACCATATATACTTAACACAATGTATTTTTATTAATTCTAAAGGTGGATGCACCAATGAAAATGACAAAAGGTTGGTACACTATTTTCTTTGAATACTTATGTAAGTAGCATCATGCTTTTTATTACTGCTTCAGTACGAATCTCTCCGATGTTAAGTTTTGTTATTTCTTAATCCTATTCAGACTGAAATGATTTATTATTATGTTCTTGTAGTGACGACCCAGATAAACCAGCACCAGTATCTTCAGTTGGTTCAGGGCCTGGAGGTAAGCATCCAAAATAGCCTTTGAAAATAATATTTGCATCATGCTGGGGGTTTAAGTTGTCAAATGAGATAAGTATATGTCGTGGTGCACTTGAACATTCTGCCATAATATCAATATGTTTTAGATGTGCTATCTGTGATTAGCAGTTCAAGAAACATCATTCCTTTCTGACCTTTAACGCTGCTTTTAATAGTATTCCAGTTTTACCACGGCGTGTCAGCTTAATGTGTGACAGGAAAGCCCGACGTGATGCAGGACTCAGACGTTTGTCACTTCGGTGAAACCCACGAGCACGGGATTCGAATCCACAATCATAGGTTTCTGGCATGCCCAAGAGATGCAACTCTGCACAGCGAATCGCGGCGCCTTAGACGACTGGGCCACCAGTGTCCCTGTCTTTCGAACGCCCCAACAACATAAATGATAATAAAATACAAATGATATTAAAATACAGATAAGGACATTATTTGCTTCTGTTTTTTTTATCAGATGATGCGTATTGTAATGCTGTCCTATCATCAGGAAATGGCTACGCGTCCTTAAAGAGAAGAAAGGACTACACTGCCACCATCTATGACGTGGCTGAGGATTATATAATATCGTGGCCTGAAAACTGAAACCAAATACTATGACGGATACCGGGACTGCAATTACAATTATTGTTCACACATTCATTGACAACCTTAAAATTGTGTGCTTACTCACATTTCTATGTAGCAGTGTTATGTACACAAACTGTTTGCCGAAGTTCAACTCAACAGCACTATGCATGTATTGTGTCATTTATTCCTATCAATAAAATCATGAAGTTAATCTCGGTTATAATATGTTTCAAATAGATGTGACAAGTGGGCGCATTTCACTATTGCAATGACATTGCGATAACTGGAAACTTTATTGTGATTCTATCACAATACATTTTAAAGTATTGCATAGTACTGCGACAGTTTCATTGGAACGTGCACCTGCCTAAATCGTTGCCTTATGCACTTTGATGACAAAACAAAACACTTCGACAACCCCCAGTTGCTACGGATTAAAGGCGGTATGGTCTTATTATTATTATAGTATATGTAGTCTAGTATTATTATAATTGTTTTCAGCCTCCGTGGTGTAGTCACTAGAGTGAGTGAGTGAGTGAGTGAGTTGGGTTTAACGCCGCTTTTAACAGTATTCCAGTTATATCGCGGCGTGTCATCTTAATGTGGGAGGAAAGCCCGAAGTGATGCAGGTCTCAGACGTTTATCACTTCGGTGAAACCCACGAGCACGGGTTCGGTGCTGACAAACCTAGAAACATAATCGGGGCGAACCGGGATTCGAACCCACAATCATAGGTTTCTGGCGTGCCCAAGGGACGCAACTCTGCATAGCGACTGGATACTGGTTGCCCACAGATATACCACATCACAGATTACACAAATACCCCGGCCAACACAGATTGACACTACACTGACTCCGAGCCGACTGGTCCTTGTTGACTCCTTCAATGCAAAGGCCCGGCCAGGGGAACAACAGATTGTTTCAATAACGTTTCTCAGATATTTGTTTAAATCCATATAATACTGCATAAATTCAAACATAGTTGTATTTCTGCGTTCTGTTTTAACTACGTATAGACTGACCTTCCACGGAGTTATTGCTTTATTCAAGGAATTCATTCACCGTGTGAAATGGCTTTGAATCTTTTTCACAAATGTTATGGGTTAAAAACATGTATGCGTGCTAGTTTGTAAGCCGGGGGATGATAACTTCCTCAATCACGTTTTCCTCAAATTCATTGCCGACGTCATAATATCAAGCATCAATATTACAAAGTAATTATGTTAAATGCCTTGCAGTTTCAACTCAATAAGTCATCTATTCAAAACTTACGGGATATTACTGGATTTAAGTACACGTTCATGCGCCTCTCTTCGAGCGGTGCAGAAACTTCCGAAACCACAGCATTGTTGAGACAACGGATTGATTCACACTTCCGACTGGAGCCACAGACCAGAGGTTGTAATAGACAAATGCAAAACGTATTCAATCGGCATTGTAACAGGATGTATGGGAGAGGGTTTGCACTATCCAATATCGAAGGAAATGTTATGTCATTGGGTGAAGTGCGTCACATGTCCTCCAATCTAAGAATTTTAACTTACCACTTGTTGCAATTCAAAGACAGCTACAATGCAAACTTCGCATCAATGATTCCAATTCTAACCCAGCAACTTGTGTGGATTCCCAGATAGAGTAGGTCCAAAGCAACCTGTGGGGATTCCTAGATAGAGTAGGTCCACAGCAACCTGTTGTGATTCCTAGATAGAGTAGGTCCACAGCAACCTGAGGGGATTCCCAGACAGAGTAGGTCCACAGCAACCTGAGGGGATTCCCAGACAGAGTAGGTCCACAGCAACCTGAGGGGATTCCCAGACAGAGTAGGTCCACAGCAACCTGAGGGGATTCCCAGACAGAGTAGGTCCACAGCAACCTGAGGGGATTCCCAGACAGAGTAGGTCCACAGCAACCTGTGGGGATTCCCAGATAGAGTAGGTCCACAGCAACCTGAGGGGATTCCCAGACAGAGTAGGTCCACAGCAACCTGAGGGGATTCCCAGACAGAGTAGGTCCACAGCAACCTGTAGGGATTCCCAGACAGAGTAGGTCCACAGCAACCTGAGGGGATTCCCAGACAGTGTAGGTCCACAGCAACCTGAGGGGATTCCCAGACAGAGTAGGTCCACAGCAACCTGAGGGGATTCCCAGACAGAGTAGGTCCACAGCAACCTGTGGGGATTCCTAGATAGAGTAGGTCCACAGCAACCTGTGGGGATTCCTTGATAGAGTAGGTCCACAGCAACCTGTGGGGATTCCTAGATAGAGTAGGTCCACAGCAACCTGTGGGATTCCCAGATAGAGTAGGTCCACAGCAACTTGTGTGGATTCCTAGATAGAGTAGGTCCACAGCAACCTGTGGGGATTCCTAGATAGAGTAAGTCCACAGCAACCTGTCGGGATTCCCAGATAGAGTAGGTCCACAGCAACCTGTAGGGATTCCCAGATAGAGTAGGTCTACAGCAACTTGTGTGGATTCCTAGATAGAGTAGGTCCACAGCAACCTGTAGGGATTCCCAGATAGAGTAGGTCCACGGCAACCTTTGGGGATTCCCAGATAGAGTAGGTCCACGGCAACCTTTGAGGATTCCCAGATAGAGTGGGTCCACAGCAACCTTTGGGGATTCCCAGATAGAGTAGGCCCGTAGCAACCAGTGGGCATTCCCAGATAGAATAGGTCTAAAACAACCACACACATCCTTTGCTCCGGGCAGATAAATAGCGTGGATCGATGCTCGTGATGTCAATCACTGATTATTTATAGACCGCTGTCATATTGCTGGAATCTTTTTGAGAGAGGCGTTAAACAACAAACAAACAAATAAAAGTTAGAGCCTGGATTGTCGCTTGACATACAAATTATGTCACGACGTGATCGTTTAATATTGAAGCAGGTCCTAGACTTTGACCACATCGGTTCAACCAACCAGCAGAGATATGGGGCTGGCAAGCAAGTTGTTGCCACTTTACTGTAAAACATGAAACTTTTCCTCTTTTACTTTTCTCTCTCTTCACAATAGTCGAGTGAATACATTCGCACGATCGGTCCCAACCTCACCTATTAACCCATTTTCCCAATTGCATGATTGATCCTAACCTTGCCTGTTTAGTTTACCCATTTTCCCATTGGCATGATTGATCCTAACTTTGCCCGATTACCCATTTTCCCATTGGCATGATTGATCCTAACCTTGCCCGTTTACCCATTTTCCCATTGGCATGATTGATCCTAACCTTGCCCATTTACCCATTTTCCCATTTGCATGATTGATCCTAACCTTGCCTGTTTACCCATTTCCCATTGCCATGATTGATCCTAACCTTGCCCATTTACCCATTTTCCCATTCGCATGATTGATCCTAACCTTGCCTATTTACCCATTTTCCCATTGGCATGATTGATCCTAACCTTGCCCGATTACCCATTTTCCCATTCGCACGATCGGTCCCAATCTCGCCTATTAACCCATTTTCCCACTTACACAATCGATCCTAACTTGCCCGTTTACCCATTCTCCCATTGGCATGATTGATCCTAACCTTGCCCATTTATCCATTTTCCCATTGTCTTGATTGATCCTAACCTTGCCCGTTTACCCATTTTCCCATTGGCATGAATGATCCTAACTTGCCCGATTACCCATTTTCCCATTGGCATGATTGATCCTAACCTTGCCTGTTTACCCATTTCCCATTGCCATGATTGATCCTAACCTTGCCCATTTACCCATTTTCCCATTCGCATGATTGATCCTAACCTTGCCTATTTACCCATTTTCCCATTGGCATGATTGATCCTAACCTTGCCCGATTACCCATTTTCCCATTCGCACGATCGGTCCCAATCTCGCCTATTAACCCATTTTCCCACTTACACAATCGATCCTAACTTGCCCGTTTACCCATTCTCCCATTGGCATGATTGATCCTAACCTTGCCCATTTATCCATTTTCCCATTGTCTTGATTGATCCTAACCTTGCCCGTTTACCCATTTTCCCATTGGCATGAATGATCCTAACTTGCCCGATTACCCATTTTCCCATTGGCATGATTGATCCCAACCTTGCCCGTTTACCCATTTTCTCATTCGCATGATCGATCCTAACTTGCCCGATTACTCATTTTCCCATTTGCATGATTGATCCTAACCTTGCCCATTTACCCATTTTCCCATTCGCATGATCGTCCCTAACCTTGCCCGTTTACCCATTTTCCCATTGGCATGATTGATCCCAACCTTGCCCGTTTACCCATTTTCCAATTCGCATGATCGTCCCTAACCTTGCCCGTTTACCCATTTTCCCATTCCCATGATAAAACCTAACTTGCCCGTTTACCCATTTTCCCATTGGCATGATTGATCCTAACCTTGCCCGTTTACCCATTTTCCCATTGGCATGATTGATCCTAACCTTGCCCGTTTACCCATTTTCCCATTGGCATGACTGATCCTAACCTTGCCCGATTACCCATTTTCCCATTCGCACGATCGGTCCCAAACTCGCCTATTAACCCATTTTCCCACTCACGCGATCGATCCTAACTTGCCCGTTTACCAATTTTCCCATTGGCATGATTGATCCCAACCTTGCCCGTTTACCCATTTTCTCATTCGCATGATCGATCCTAACTAGCCCGATTACCCATTTTCCCATTGGCATGATTGATCCCAACCTTGCCCATTTACCCATTTTCTCATTCGCATGATCGATCCTAACTTGCCCGATTACCCATTTTCCCATTCGCATGATCGTCCCTAACCTTGCCCGTTTACCCATTTTCCCATTGGCATGATCGATCCTAACTTGCCCGTTTACCGAATTTTCCCATTGGCATGATCGTTCCTAACCTTGCCAGTTTACCCATTTTCTCATTCGCATGATCGATCCTAACTAGCCCGATTACCCATTTTCCCATTGGCATGATTGATCCTAACCTTGCCCTATTAACCATTTTCCCATTTGCATGATCGTCCCTAACCTTGCCCTATTACCCACTTTCCCATTGGCATGATCGATCCTAACTTGCCCGATTACCCATTTTCCCATTGGCATGATTGATCCCAACCTTGCCCGTTTACCCATTTTCTCATTCGCATGATCGTCCCTAACCTTCCCGTTTAACCATTTTCCCATTGGCATGATCAAACCTAACTTGCCCGTTTACCCGTTTTTCCATTG